TCGGAATTCTCTGGTTGGTGCAGATTTCTGTATCAACAAAAAATGTAGTAATATTAATAAATATTTTTAGAAATTTTGATACATACCATATCTCTTGTATTTCGTTCAAAACGTTTTCTTTTTACACTAATTAAATTGTTTTATGCTTATCGTTTGCGCCACTACTTTCCGTACATCTTCATTGTTTATGATTTACGTTACCTAACCAATCTGTAACATCAATTTAAGAGTTTAAATTAAAGGGTTATCTCGTAGATAAACTCATTACTTTAATAATTTTTTAATTGGTACAGACGGTATATATACAGTATTCAACACAATACAGACTTCCACATGCTATTTTACAAACATATCCAAGCACTGATTTTTCTACAAAATCATTTTTAAAAGTTTTGTGTAAATGCATTCAAATAGAGCTAATCAATTTCAATGATGTAGTTGAGAAATCAATTTCCCTCGTTTATATGGATAAGGCACGCTTGTTCTGTATAAACTTCTAATGGATGATCCTTACACCGCCGTTTCCTCCATTAGAGCTACATAACCAAAAGCCCAAATAGACGTATCAAAGTATCAAACTGTAGTGATTCCCAGGTTCATGAGCTTTGTTTTTTCTGTAGCTGTGCATGCAGTCTATGACATTAAACTACTAGGATTTTATTGTATTAAGATCATACGAACATCAATTAAAACAATTCATTTCATGTGCCAGTGTTTGACCTTCCCAAAGTGTTGCTGATGGTTGATACAAAAGTGAGCTTCCAAACAATCCTTTGATCTTCTTGATGCTTTATATCAACTTGGGAATGGAGAGCTCATTTCAGCCAAGTGCAATCCGTGCGAGAATCTTATATATTGCCACCAGAACCGACCTGGTTTTATTGTTCCGCATTTGAAACCATTCCAGTAATGACCTCGAGGAGAAACTACTGCTGATCGAACACAAAAAATTCAGCAAATTATGAAGGCCTCTCAAGAGTATGGATTTTTCAGGTTGCTATACATTCATTATTTCTTATGTCAATAGTCAAAATTATTAATCCGAAAATTGAAATATTCATTTATATTATAGGCTAACATATATAAAGTGGCTTTGGGAAATGGTTTTACTGTAATAGGTGATTAATCATGGAGTCCCAGAGAGGCTAATGCGTGATGAATTGACTGTGGCCAAAGAGTTCTTCGAGCTGCCCCGAGGACAAGTCCAGCTTATATTCTGAAGATCCAAAGCAAAGTTGTAGATTATATACAAGCATAACTGTGTTAAGGAAAAGGTGCATTTCTGGAGAGATAATTTGAGACACCCTTGCATCCTGTTGAGGAACACATGCAATTTGGCCTCAGCCTGCCCAATATCGGTAATGCTCTCACTTGTTTGATTGTTTAACATCTTATTTCCACAGTTAATTTATATTAATCAAGGTGAAGCCAATGACATTTTGGATCTTTTAGAGAGGTGGTTCTAATTTTCGGTTGAGGTGATGAAACTGAGTTTGTGGGTTTTGGATTAATCCGTGAAGGATTAGGACTTGAATTTGGAGCCAAGTTCAGTTGATACATTAAACCACTACCGCCCGGCTCCGAGTTCACATGGGATGCCTAAACACAGTGATGTGAATCTCATAACTCTTCTTCCCCAAGGAGATGTGAATGGGCTGCAAGCTAGTGTTTAAGAATGGGGAATGGCTGGGTGTTGACCCTTTACCTAATGCATTTATTGTTAATATTGGTCATATGTTACAGGTACATACCTATCTCCCTTTCTCATAGCTTTCATTAAAATAATTCTAATAATGGTCCTTACATTTATCATCATTCATCATCAGTGTCCTCCAACTGTAATTAAAATGCTTATTGCTTTATCGCCATTAAGAAATGCATGTAATCATTGAAATTATAGAGGTTCAAGAATGGCGCAATATTGTAGACTCCTGCAGACTGAGGTGTAATGTGAATTCACATTTCATTTAAAAACAAACTCATTTTAATAACTTAATATATATCTTTATATATATATATATCTTATTTAAGTTCAATACAACGTTCGCAAAACTTCAGGTTCTGTTTGCGTGTGTATGGTGAAAAAAAATATGTTGATAAGTGATTGGTTCCAGAATATACAGTGTTATTTATTCGTTCAATTGTCATAATTAAAGAATACAAATTAATGCTTCAGTTTTTTATCTAGCTAGCCTTCAAATTGTCATTGTGGTGGGTGCAGATTATCAGCAATGCCGACCGTAGATCGTAACGAACACAAGTCGAGCACGAACAACTGTTGCCAGTTTCATTGATCCCTCTAGTAATACCCATTGAACCTAAAAAGATGTGGTTAACAGTTGCAGTCCTCAACTGTACAAACCTTTTATTTAAAAGATTTTCTTACTGCTTATATAGCTGATACTCACACTGGAAGACCACCAATTGAGCGTTAAGCTCCAAACTTAAGCCTGTTTATGTATCTGATATTTCCTAAAGATTGGATTGGCTGTAACTATTGGACTGTTGGAATACAGTATTCTTCATCTTAAGCATGTTTATGCACAACTGTTTCGAATGGTCAGCCCCAAATGGCCTCCTTAATCTGAAAAATCAAGTGCTGCAACTGTGGATTACTTCAAGTCACTAACAACTTACAGTGTTATGTCAATAAATTCTTATAAATCATGAATATGTTTCTTTTTGGGGGATCGGAAGAGGAAAACTAGAATTAAAATGGATGAAACAAGAGAGGTTAGTTATCCATAAGTAGTGTGTGAATTGAGAATTGCCACTAACGCCACCTTATCTTCCAAGTTTTCATATGGATTAAGCACCTAATCTTACCAGAATGAGTCGTGGTTAGAAAGCAATGTGTACCTTCCATGTGGGTAGAAATAACTTTTTAGCATAAAATTTTATTCCTTACACACATCACCTTTGACGTAACCTCATTTCTGATCACATAATATTCAAATGAATCCACTGTTATCAACGAAAGTACTCCATTCTTCTGATTTTACATTCCTCAAAGTTTCAAACTCAAAACTTTCAGTGATGTCCCCATCTTTCTTAAAATGAAATCTCGCTTGATAAATTTATCTTTTTCCTTGGTCCGTAAATTTCTACGTGAGTCGTGACTTGTAAAAAAAACTATATTCAATCAAACTAATCATGAATCTCACTCAACTTTGATTAAAATAATACACTAGAGAGGTTTTAATGCAAAATGCTAATCATCATTAGAATCCCTATAGCTAGATTTTTGTTGCCAGGATGAGTAGTACTAATACTAGTTAGGAGCTTTATTTCTCATTAAACTTGTGCATGTTAAACATGAGCTTCTCTTTTCTGTTAACTTAAAAGAAAAAGGATACCCAACTATAAGATATAATTAATTAAATGTGTATGACACTAGTGTCACATATACATCACATATTAACATAGAAATTCAAATGGGTCTTCCATTTTCACGCCCATCTATATTGACTTGGTGCAGATCAAAGCATTACTCATTACAATGGAGACTAAGGAGTCACCTTCCCAGATTACTGTTTGTAAAAGCTAAACTAGGAGATCTGATTAGGATGATTTTGGTTCCCAACTTCCCCCCTATAGAAAGAAAAGCAAGAATAAAGAAGAGATAATAGTAATAAAAGCAAAAATTAAATTAATTGCTGCGTTACATAATACTTACCTCATATGGGACTAATGAGAGTATTCTGTGTAATGGATTTATCAACGAAAGGTTTGAAAATGAGAGAGAATTCAGAAAGAAAGAGAAGATATGATTGTACTTTGTCTCTTTACTCATTTCTTTCTCTATTTTTTTTTTTTTTTTTAATACATGAGAGAATGACTTATCATTTGCATCACTACCTCTTCTCCTTCATGAATAAACTAGTTCACTTTATTCTCCTAATAAAAAAAACTGCTCAAAGTTTTTAATGGAATTTTAAATCTTTTTTTTTTTTTTTTTTTAACATGATATGATATGAATAAACAGTTGATGTTTTGACCAGTTTTGAAACAGCAGGGTCTGTGTTGTTGCTGTCAAATTTAAGCTGATCCATGATTATGAGCCTAGAGTAAGAAAATGAATGAACAGAGAGATGAAATAGTAATAATAAACATGATTATGCCTAGTAATTTACTTCCGACAAATTGAATGTTTTTCAAAGAAAAAAAAAGAAGGCACTACTTACTTGGTAGGTGATTGTTGATCATATAATCATTCACCTTAATTTTGTATTGTTGTTCTTGATGGGCAGTAAATTCAGCTCCTCACACAAAAGAAATTAATACAGTAAATGATTGATAATCAATCTCAATAATCACAAAAAGATCCTGCTGTAAAAAAAACAATCATGGATTCCAAAATGGGTGTTCACTTGGTGCCCTGCAACCACACATAACTTAATAAATATGTCATAAAATGCATGAAAAGATAAAAAAAATTGAACAATCTACACCATCATCTTGTGCCATACTTTTCCCAATTATCGCTATCGCTGGCAAACATCAATGAGAACAGGATGAATGGGGACAATGTTAGCAATAAAATGATTGTTGAAAAAGGGAGTAGAGATAGTGAATGGTAAGTTCAATGAATGGTAAGATAAGAAGCAATATTCCTTGCTTCTGCATCATTTTGTTCGCCATAAATTCACACTACTCATAACCCATTTTCCTCCTTTTTCTTTAATTAAATAATGAAATATCTCTATCTTTCTTCTCTTATATATTTTCCTCTTGCCTATGTTGGAGAGGAGGTGCGCATGATGCTTACGATAAGCATAGGGTGCGTACTGCCACATTCAGCGCAGATAGAAAAGCGACGCTTTGTTATCTTTTGTCAAAAAAGCTAAATGAACGGGGTCTTAAAATAGCTGCTGGTGTATAAAAAGCGACCTTGTCGTTGTGTCAAACAAAAACAAGCGAAAAACGTTTGTCATTGTTGCAGCAAACATCTCTCGTAGTCTTTGTTTTCACTCTCAACAAAAAAAAAAAGAAACCTTCCATTTCAGCTTCTCTTCTGCTTTCCCTTTCAAACAAAATTTATTTTATTATTAATATGTCAATTAATGTACTACTTAAACCTTCCAATTTCTGTTTCCTCCAGAGTTATAAAGATTTTCTATTTTCGAATTTCAGTTGACTTCGATATTTTTTATTTTCAGAAATTGATTCTGTGATTCGATTTGTTGATTGATCCATGTCGTCGGATATAAGCTAGTCTAGTCTCCCCACACATACTCTACTCTGTTTTCGTCAAACAGTCGATTAGTTATTTTCGTCTTTTTCTTTATTAAATTTCAAAGAATAATTCCGTATAATTTGATGGCGAAATCGTCCTACACAGTTGACAAAACCTCCTTGTTGTTCGGAAATTTGATTGGTCTCTTACTATTCGTTAGTTATTGACTGAGGAGAATTGTGAGTGAGTGAGTACGTTAGGGTTTCTAAAAAGTAGTTAGCGGTTGAGTGAGGTTGGTTGAGGAGAGGAGGGATGGGTAGGGGTTGGCTTTTCCTGGCAACGGTAGGACCACCGATAAAGCCGCGGGCCGGATTGCGGAGAAAGCAAGCTGGAAGAGGCTCATACAGAGGCAGCTAGGCTCAGCTTGAGGCTGAACACAATCAACGAGACAGGGCCCAGGGGCGTTGTTTTTTAGTATTTTCTTTTTCTTGTTTCGAGAGCTAAGTGAAGTGACAACTCCGTGTGTTTTTGTTTTTCACGATTTCTGTTTTTCATTGAGGAAAAAGATGGATACTGGTACTCCTGAGCTACACGGAGTACTGAAAAACCTCTGTTTCAATACGGAATGGAAGTACGCCGTCTTTTGGAAGCTCAAACATCGGGCTCGCATGTGAGTTCAATAAGAGATGTTTGGTTTGTTAATAAAAATGGTATTTGGCAAAGTAAGAAGGGTGTTGGGTTTGATTTTATTCCTTGTTCTTGAATTCGTTGCAGGGTGTTGACCTGGGAAGATGGTTACTATGACAATTGTGAACAACTTGATTCTTTAGGGAATAAGCGTTCAGATGACACACTTGAAAATTTGCATGGTGGGCATTATTCACATGATCCCCTTGGGTTGGCTGTGGCAAAAATGTCTTATCATGTTTATTCTTTGGGGGAAGGGTATGCCTTTCTTTACTCATGAGTAATAAATAGGCTACTCAATTTTTTGCATTTTGTCTAATAATGTTGCAAAACTGCTAATTCGTGTTTGTTAGTATGGAATTGGCGAATATAGTGAGACTTTATAATATGACCTCTAGTTCAATTCAATTCCAATTATGACGTTGAATTCCATGCAACTAAGTGCTCAATTGTTGAGAACATAAAATATTGATGAGTGAATGAATGCCTATAAAGATTGCCCAAACTCAGTCGCTTTTCTCCTTTGTTTTACAGGATTGTTGGGCAGGTAGCAGTTACTGGAAAGCATCAGTGGATCTTCGCAGATCAACATGTTACTAATTCTTTCTCATCTATTGAGGTTTGGTAGTTATTATGCAATAGTATTGAATCATAATCTATAGATGTTTTGATAATTATTGTGTTTTCGAATCATTCTTAACACTAATCTTTAATTGGGTATTTTTCAGTTCTGTGATGGGTGGCAAAGCCAGGTTTTTGCTGGGATCAGGGTATGCTTGCAGTATTTTCCTTTATTATTATAATTATTTTTATGTTTTGAAGTGTAATTTGTTTTAATATTGATGAAGCAAGAATTTAGCATAATATGTGAGAATTAGGAAATCCTCACTTTTTTAGGCACTGACACACTTATTTGATCACTGTGTTCTTGGCTTGTATCAGCAATGCCATAGGCCATATTCATGAGTGCTGGCTCTTTTCTTTTTACCATGTTAATCCTCAAATACACCCATCTTGAAGTAATGGATTTGACTCTCTCACCATAAATCGTCTATGTCTAACAATTACTCTTGTTGTGATTTGCATTGCTTTGTTTTAGTAATTTAGATGAAAACGGCAGCGCATTTACATTTTTTTCTATGAATCATGAAATTTCTTATCTTCCTTTCATAATCTCTTTGGTTAAACTTCACATTTTAGTTGTTTCTTAGAAAAAATAAAAGATTAATAAATAAAAACTCTGCACAAATTTAGTGATTGTAGATTGGCATCTGCACAGTGAAAGGCATCATTCTTGAGTCATGGAACATTTTATTTATAAAGCAGGTTGTCCTTTCTGCTACCTTATAGCTCATCAAAGCTTCTTCCTAACAAAAAATTTGTGTTCTGATCTGTAGACCATTGTTGTTGTCGCTGTTGGTCCACATGGAGTTGTACAGCTTGGTTCTTTGAATAAAGTAAGATGAGTTCTATCCGCATAATACTTACCTCATATGGGAATAATGAGAGTATTTTGTGTAATGGATTTAATCAACGAAAGGTTTGAAAATGAGAGAGAATTCAGAAAGAAGAGAAGATATGATTGTACTTTGTCTCTTGTACTCATTTCTTTCTCTATTTTTTTTTTTTTTTTTTTATACATGAGAGAATGACTTATCTTTGCATCACTACCTCTTCTCCTTCATGAATAAACTAGTTACTTTATTCTCTCATAATAAAAAAAAGCTGCTCAAAGTTTTTAATGGAATTTTAAATCTTTTTTTTTAACGATATGTATGAATAACAAGTTGATGTTTGACCAGTTTTGAAACAGCAGGGTCTGTGTTGTTGCTGTCAAATTTAGAGCTGATCATGATTATGGAAGTAGAGTAGAAAAATGAATGAAAGAGAGATGAAAATAGTAATGAATAAAACATGATTATGCCTAGTAATTTACTTCCGACAAATTGAATGTTTTTCAAAGAAAAAAGAAGGCAGCTTACTTGGTAGGTGATTGTTGATCATATAATCATTCACCTTAATTTGTATTGTTGGTCTTGATGGGCAGTAAATTCAGCTCCTCACACAAAGAAATTAATACAGTAGAATGATTGTAATCAATCTCAAAATCACAAAAAGATCCTGCTGTAAAAAAAAACAAATCATGGGATTCCAAAATGGGTGTTCACTTGGTGCCCTGCAACCACATAAACTTAATAAATATGTCATGAAATGCATGTAAAGATAAAAAAATTGAACAATCTACACCATCATCTTGTGCCATACTTTTCCCAATTATCGTATCGCTGGCAAACATCAATGAGAACAGGATGAAATGGGGACAATGTTAGCAATAAAATGATTGTTGAAAAAGAGTAGAGATAGGGAATGGTAAGTTCAAATGAATGGTAAATAAGAAGCAATATTCCTTGCTTCTGCATCATTTTGTTCGCCATAAATTCACACACTCATAACCCATTTTCCTCCTTTTCTTTAATTAATAAATGAAATATTCCTATCTATTCTTCTCTTTATTTTCCTCTTACCTATTGAGGAGGAGGGTGCGCATGATGCGTACGATAAGCATAGGGTGCGTACTGCCACATTCAGCGCATGATAGAAAGCGACGCTTTGTTATCTTTTGTCAAAAAAGCTAAAATGAACGGTCTTAAAATAGCTGCTGGTGTATAAAAAGCGACTGTCGTTGTGTCAAACAAAAACAAGCGAAAAAACGTTTGTCATTGTTGCAGATCAGTTCAGTCTTTGTTTTCACTCTCAACAAAAAAAAAGAAGCCTTCCAGTTCAGTCTCTTCTGCTTCCCCTTTCAAAACAAAATTTATTTTATTATTAATATGTCAATTAATGCTAGCTTAAACCTTCCAATTTCTGTTTCCTCCAGAGTTATAAAGATTTTATTTTCGAATTTCAGTTACTTCTAACTCTTCTTCCCCAAGGAGATGTGAATGGGCTGCAAGCTAGTGTTTAAGAATGGGGAATGGCTGGGTGTTGACCCTTTACCTAATGCATTTATTGTTAATATTGGTCATATGTTACAGGTACATACCTATCTCCCTTTCTCATAGCTTTCATTAAAAATAATTCTAATTAATGGTCCTTACATTTATCATCATTCATCATCAGTGTCCTCCAACTTGTAATTAAAATGCTTATTGCTTTATCGCCATTAAGAAATGCATGTAATCATTTGAAATTATAGAGGTTCAAGAATGGCACAATATTGTAGACTCCTGCAGACTGAGGTGTAATGTGAATTCACATTTCATTTAAAAACAAACTCATTTTAATAACTTAATATATATCTTTTATATATATATATAATCTTATTTTAAGTTCAATACAACGTTCGCAAAACTTCAGGTTCTGTTGCGTGTGTATGGTGAAAAAAAATATGTTGATAAGTGATTGGTTCCAGAATATACTGTTATTTATTCTGTCAATTGTCAAGTAATTAAAGAATTACAATAAATTAATGCTTCATTTTTTATCTAGCTAGCCTTCAAATTGTCATTGTGGTGGGTGCAGATTATCAGCAATGCCGACCGTAGAGTCGTAACGAACACAAGTCGAGCACGAACAACTGTTGCCAGTTTCATTGATCCCTCTAGTAATACCCATATTGAACCTGCAAAAGATGTGGTTAACAGTTGCAGTCCTCAACTATACAAACCTTTTATTTAAAAAGATTTTCTTACTGCTTATATAGCTGATACTCACTCTGGACGACAACCAATTGAGCGTTTTAAGCTCCAAACTTAAGCCTGTTTATGTATCTGAATATTTCCTAAAGATTGGATTGGCTGTAACTATTGACGACTGTTGGAATACAGTATTCTTCATCTTAAGCATGTTTATGCACAACTGTTATCGAAATTGGTCAGCCCCAAATGGCCTCCTTAATCTGAAAAATCAAGTGCTGCAACTGTGGATTACTTCAAGTCACTAACAACTTACAGTGTTATGTCAATAAATTCTTATAAATCATGAATATGTTTCATTTAGTTGGGGGATCGGAAGAGGAAAAAACTAGAATTAAAATGGATGAAACAAGAGAGGTTAGTTATCCATAAGTAGTGTGTTGAATTGAGAATTGCCACTAACGCCACCTTATCTTCCAAGTGTTCATATTGGATTAAGCACCTAATCTTACCAGAATGAGTCGTGGTTAGAAAGCAATGTGTACCTTCCATGGTGGGTAGAAATAACTTTTTAGCATAAAATTTTATTCCTTACACACATCACCTTTGACGTAACCTCATTTCTGATCACATAATATTCAAATGAATCCACTGTTATAAACGAAAGTACTCCATTCTTCTGATTTTACATTCCTCAAAGTTTCAAACTCAAAACTTTTCAGTGATTGTCCCCATCTTTCTTAAAATGAAATCTCGCTTGATAAAAAATTATCTTTTTCCTTGGTCCATAAATTTCTACGTGAGTGGTGACTTGTAAAAAAAACTATATTCAATCAAACTAATCATGAATCTGACTCAACTTTGATTAAAATAATACACTAGAGAGGTTTTAATGCAAAATGCTAATCATCATTAGAATCCCTATAGCTAGATTTTGTTGGGCCAGGATGAGTAGTACTAATACTAGGGTTATGAGCTTTATTTCTCATTAAACTTGTGCATGTTAAAACATGAGCTTCTCTTTTCTGTTTAACTTAAAAGAAAAAAGGATACCCAACTATAAGATATAATTAATTAAATGTGTAATGGACACTAGTGTCACATATACATCACATATTAACATAGAAATTCAAATGGGTCTTCCATTTTCACGCCCATCTATATTGACTTGGTGGCAGATCAAAGCATTACTCATTACAATGGAGACTAAGGAGTCACCTTCCCAGATTACATGTTTGTAAAAAGCTAAACTAGAAGATCTGATTAGGATGATTTTGGTTCCCAACTTCCCCCCTATAGAAAGAAAAGCAAGAATAAAGAAGAGATAATAGTAAATGATAAAAGCAAAAATTAAATTAATTGCTGCGTTGCATAATCTTACCTCATATGGGATAATGAGAGTATTTCTGTGTAATGGATTTAATCAACGAAAGGTTTGAAAATGAGAGAGAATTCAAAAGAAAGAGAAGATTGATTGTACTTTGTCTCTTTTACTCATTTCTTTCTCTATTTTTTTTTTTTTTTTTTTTATACATGAGAGAATGACTTATCATTTGCATCACTACCTCTTCTCCTTCATGAATAAACTAGTTCACTTATTCTCTCTATAAAAAAAAGCTGCTCAAAGTTTTTAATGGAATTTTAAATCTTTTTTTTTTTTTTTTTTTTAACATGATATGATATGAATAACAAGTTGATGTTTTGACCAGTTTTGAAACAGCAGGGTCTGTTTGTTGCTGTCAAATTTAGAGCTGATCCATGATTTGGAAGCCTAGAGTAAGAAAATGAATGAAGAGAGAGATGAAAATAGTAATGAATAAAACATGATATGCCTAGTAATTTACTTCCGACAAATTGATGTTTTTCAAAGAAAAAAAGAAGGCACTCTTACTGTAGGTATTGTTGATCATATAATCTTCACCTTAATTTTGTATTGTTGTCTTGATGGGCAGTAAATTCAGCTCCTCACACAAAAGAAATTAATACATAGAATGATTGATAATCAATCTC